ATATACTTGATTCGGCTTCCAGTCGTTTTTTACCACTGAAAAACTGCGATTATAAACAGGAGTACGGTACAGACATAATACCACCGAGAAAATAGATTTTTTTCCGATAACGAGGGAATCGGGTCACTTCTGTTCTAGACTCGACCTCCTCAGTCCAGCTCGCTTGACATCACACGCCGTGCACCACATGCACAGTAAAATTTTACATATAAATTTCGGTTTTGCATGGGCGCTTGTATGACGGGAAACCCTTAAAAACCCTTAACGCCCGTTTTCCCTTCAATGTGAACTGATGGAATCGGTAATTGAGTGTCCTAGATGAAACAATGTAAAAGCATGGGTCGGTTAAGAAAAGAAGTGGTATGATATTGGAATCCGATAGAAGGTGAGCATATCGTATCGGTTTTCATAAAAAACTTGTACTGACCTTCCCAGGAGTACTCCACTATTTTTTAATATATATATATATACATATATATATATTCACCGGTTCGTATAGAGTAAGAATCAACCGTTTGTCTTTCCGCCGAACGAATTATTATACCGACAAACGACGGCCAAAGACAAATAGACCAGGATGTAGTGAGCTGATGATATTTGCCGAGATTCCAATGAAGCTCTACAGACCAACGGATCGCTTGATTCTCAACTCACGGGATATGCCCTTTGATTGAATAGAACCACAGACTTGAGGCGAAAATGTTTTTATTTCGTATTTGTGCAACTTGTGTAAACTTATACACCTACAATAATAATGGAATAACTCTTAAACCTGTACGACTACATTTCTATGAAAAAAGCTAAGTAAGTTTGAGCAGAAAAGAGCCTCTATTGTGTGCGCCATGATGAATGAAAAATCACAATGTAAACATGAGAGAAAAGTTCGGGTTATGTAATGAAGCTTATCCCCGTTTAGTCAAGGGCTTGTGGGTACTTGAATCAAATTTCGTTATTTTTACAACTTCATTGCTCATGACAGGTATGATGAGACGCAGTCAATGGTTGTGAACGTTGAGTCCATGTCCACCGGGTATCCAATCTCTACCAAATGAGCAGCATTTGACTCATGATGACGTAAAACATCAATTACCTTTTTTCGGATTTGCTTATATTTTAATTCGTTTTATTTGAAAAATTCGATTTCACTCGTTTCAGAATAAATTCACTGAAGACATGTTTACACCTAATCTGTGTTCTTAGGGGGTAGTAGCGATTGGCGTTCTGTCTACGAACGAAGATCGCGGGTTGAGGTTAAAGTTATGAAACTGACGAATCACGCCCTGACAAACATTCCAAAAATTGATTGGGTGAATATCACAGTTCCGTAAGTTCTATGAGAGACGAAAATTCTCACTGACATTGAATTCGTTATTGTTCGGTCACAACTTGAACACCTCAGTGTGCCACGACAGAAGTTGAAATTGTATTGCTCAATCAAGGGACGGCCGTATTAGCTCTTCCTTTTTCTCTCCTCAAACTGCCCTCCGGCAAATTGAAGAACACCAGACTTGCAAATACTTATTATCCCGGTTAATTGAAGTTTCACACAAAAATATCATGATGTCGAACTAGGACTGATTTATATCTCTCTCTTTTAATTCATCGCATTTATTCGTGCTGCATATTAGATAGCTAAGCTAACGCTCGGTCATGTGTATTTCAGCATTTTAACAAAACTCTGTTCTGCTCATTTTTATCTGCAAATGCTTTTATTACCAATCGCATTTCATTTTCAAATCCGTTCTTCGACATTCTCCCTCACCGTTTTAGCTATTGAGGATGTCGGTACGTGGTTTACCAAATACAGTTTCGTTCGTGCACACCAGCCTCCGAGCAGCACAAACCACAATTCTGTCGATTTTCTCATTTGGTTGCTGTTATCAGTCATGCTCACTCTAAATTTTGAGACTACAAAGTGCATAAATATCGTTATTCGGTAATTCGCTTAAATGTGAATGAATAGCCAGCGGATCGAGAGCTTGTGAAGTCCTTGGATGATATCGATTGTCCTCAACTCGTTCTTCTGTTCTATTTATTAAACATTATTTTTTATGTTTAGTAAACATTCACGATGTGATTTCACAAATGCAACTTGCGGAAGTAAGCCTGAAACACTTATTTAATTTCAATTCTCATACAGAACAACTGTACCAGGGTGAGTTACAATATATTGATCAGATTGGGAAAACGAGTCGGTGAACGAACAATTGTTTTCGGACATTCCTAGTCATGCTCTTACATAACATGTAGTGGGAAAATTCTTACATAATGATAGCCATTGGGGGACTCACACACAGAGAGCCCAGTCCAATCACTGAGAGCAGCGGTGAATTTCACTTTCCGCGCAGTCAAACTTAGACCAGTGTTCTCTACATCACCGTTGATGTGAATGCAAGTGAAAGAAACTGCTAAAACTGACCTCATCCATGATAATTTACTCTTTGTAGTGCGTCTGTGCCGCAAGTTGCATATGTCGTACGGTACGGCGTTTGTCTCGGCGCGTTAAGGAGCACCAACCGCGATGGCCAACTTAGGGGAAGACCGGCCGTATCTCAAGCGCGATCATGGGGCATCTCGTCGACACCGGGCACAAGATCGAACTGGAGAAAGCTTTAGATGTTGTTTATCGTATCCCACTCAATCGATCGAAGGCTGCCCGAGTTTGGACACTGGCCATGGTCGAGGCGATCGCCATTCCAGTACTAGGCCCCAACCTGTGTGCCCAAAAACGACTGGTGCAGGCGCTCCAATTGCCCTGGCTGAGTGTGAAAACTAAGGCAGAACATGACTTGTCACTTGACCCAATTGGAGAAAGGTCACATCAACTAACACGCTAAACATGCCTACACACACGCGCATACACTCCCATTACTCTCTGACCCGATTAATGAACTTAATTTGATCCAATGGCTATTATTATGTAAGAATTTTTCCACATGACTAGGAATGTCCGAAAACAATTGCTCGCTCACCGACTCAAGTCAAGTCAAAAATCGCCTTATTCATCCTAATGGATGGATTCTCAGCTTTCTGCACTCCAGGAACATTTATTGTCGCATACAGTCAAAAAAAGTGAAAAAAACAGCATCGTCAATTCAAAGGAATGTGGTGTAAAAGTTTAAAAATGAATATCAATTGCGTAGGCAATTCAAGAAGTTTGCTCTAACGGATGCCTTTTGAGCGAGAAATCTCGAAAGATAGGAGATGACGGATAAATGACAGGCGATGGTGCGAGCATACACTAGTTTATAGCGACATCTTGTTACAGAAGTGGATATACATTAAGTTCTGGGTGTAATGGGTGAGTGGTGTCTGATAGAATATTGTTACAGAAGTTATCGCAAGAGATAAAATGCTTATCAGTGGTAAAGTTAAGCAAGTGCAAATAAGAAATACCGATTGTGCGAGAAATAATTTTCATAGATCGGCGTAGAATTGTGTAATCTTTAGCTCTAAGACCGGCAAATAAAACTGGGAGCAGTAGAGAAGATGAGTAACAATACAAGAATATACAAATCGAGCGAGTAAATACAGTGGAACTTTTAAAGATCGCAAGCGGGTAATAAAGAAACAAAAAGTAGAAGTCAAACGTGAGGTCCAGGTGAGATCTTGGCGGATAGTGACATCGAGGTATTGTAAAGAGTTTACTGGTGGAACAGGCTGGTTGACAACATAGAGTGCAGAACAATTTCTTTCAAAAGAATGTAACCGTTCTCTTTTGGCAAGTGAAAAGGTGACATCGCTACATTTAGATAGATTGAGAGAAGACTTGGAAGACGAAGACTATAAGTTTAAGGCAAATAAACTGGTTTGAAGATGTGAGAAGCAGGAAATCACCTTGGAATTAGGAACCAATTGTGACATCATCAGCGTACTGAATACGAAGAACATTTGGCTTAGTGGGAAGGTCACGAATATAGAAAGAAAAAAGAAAGGGGGACAAAATTGCTCCCTGGAGCACCCTTGAGTTGACTGGTAGGGAGTCAGAGGTTTTTCCAAGAAACATTGTGAATTGTGTTCTACCAGCAAAAGAATCTTAGAGTAAAGAGAGGGTATTATCGGACAATCCAGCACCTTGGAGTAGAGACAAAAGCCTGCCCCTGTCAACACAGTTAAAAGCGTTACTGTAGTCAAGGAAACACATACGAAATGCCCTACCGTGCGTGCCTTGGGATCGCAAAACTGAGTTTACTAAATGAGCGAGAGCATCTAAGGTAGAATGTTGTTTGCGATTAGCGAATTGATTTTCATCTAGCTGCCCAGTATTGGGAATAACGTTACTACGCATAAACTTTTCAAAAACTTATAGTAAAATAGAAGTGCAGACGATTGGGGCACTGGTGTAATGCGCACAGGTCTCCAGCAGTTGACAATTTTTTGTTCCTCGAAGCAGCGGTTGAAAATACCGGTAAGTGGCTCCGCCAGAAAATGCGCACATTCCCTGAGGATGACTGGACGTAGTCCGTCAGGATCGGAAGCTTTTGATATTTTTAGGCACTTTAGCTGTGCACGAGTCTGATTTGAATTGACACGTGAAACTTCAAGATGGTCAACTGATTGAAAATAAGGATGCGATACTTCAGTTTCAGTTGACGTGGAAAACATCTGCTGTGGGTTGAGGCCCGCGTAGTCTGAATTTTGTTCCACAAAGTATTTTCATAGCACTCCAGATTTTCTTGCAATTGCGGTCACCAAGAATGGCTTCAGTGTAGAGTTTGTCAGGATTTTGGACCTCATTCTTGATCAGCACTGAAGTTTGTTTAACTAAAAGTCGATCACGCTTTGTAGATGCCCATTCCTTGGTTCTGCTGAGGGTCTTCAGTGTGGGAGAAGAAAATCTGGCGGGAGTGATGTATATAGGGGATATGGGGAAGCAGATGTCAAGGCAGAAGTTCAAATAGCTCGTGAGGTGTTCACACTCGATCGAGACACTTGGATCAAAGAACTGATCAAAATTTATACCACAGACCATTTCTCTCAGTAATGCCAAGTGGGCCNGGCCGGGTCACACAACCTATGAGAAATCTTCCGGTTAAATGTACGTGTCATTGTGCTATGATGTTTCTTTAAATAGACTTTTGGTAAAACATTGATGCTACAATGATCGGAGTTTGCCAGAGGGGTTCCTCTTCACACAGCAAACAGGTCAGGATCGTTCGAAAACAGCTGCGTTTCCTCTTGTGGAGAAATTTACCATACTGTGGAGAGAGAGAGACATGTCAAGAAATGAATGTCTGTATGGTTAAAATCGCCACTAACAATAGAAAGAGTGTTCCATGTAGTTAGAAAGTTTGGATATAAATGCATCAGCAAACGTCTCTACATCAAAAATTGTACTGGAAGGTGCTATGTAGATGTTTGATGCCACAATGGAATGATATTTACTAAGGAAACGGGGTTTACATTCAACCGAAAGACATGAAATATATCTTACTTTTTAAGTGAAGATAATCTCTGTACACTTATACCGAGACGATTTGGTGTAGGTTATTAGACTACCGCCTCGATTTCGTAGTAAACAGTCTCTTTCCAACCGATACATATCAAATAAATCCAGCTCAACCAAAGAGTCGTTGATGTCAGGATGCAACCAAGTTTCTTGCAGCATAACTATCCCCAATGCATGGTATTTTTTCGTCCTTATCAGTTTCGTGAAGTCGCTCATTTTGCCAATTAGTGATCGTACGTTTGATGAACAAATTGCAGGGGTAGATATTTTCTGAGGTTTTGTGTTACGTGAGGCCACCTACTGGCCTGCTCGGTGTTTTCTGAGGAAACCTGATCTGGACGGTCTGCATCTTTTGTATCTATTTTTAATTTGACGATTGAACTGATGGAGAATGCCACTCTTGCGCGACAACACATAACGTTGCAACTTCTTTAAAGATTCCGGGGCGTACGTAATCATGAAAGCAATGAAAGAAAACTTGATTCAAACGAATAAATCCAATGTGTAACGTAAACGTTGATACAATGTTCACTGGAGCACAGAAAATGTAGCACGGCCGAAATTTGAAGGCCCTGCCGTTATAACCACCAAGACTCGTTTTCTGAATGCTATCATGGGAATATTCGAGCTTTTGATATTGATTAGAGTTAAATTTTTGAGTGAACTACGGGAATTCTGCTTGAGATAAAATGAAACACATTGTGTGATCACCTTTGGATTTATAGATTTTTCTACAAGTGAGTCTTATATAGTTATATTAATTTCGGTTTAGAGTTTGATGGTTTTAGCTTAAGCAAAAAAGAACATGTGCGTTCCGTGTTAATGCCAAAACAGAGGCCCAATATTTTAATTCTGATTTCGCCGACTAGAGCCTATTTTAGGTGTATTCATTTTTAAATTAAACTGCCTAAAATTACATTCTCGAAATGGATACACGTCTATCTATTTCCGTAAATTGAGACACTCAGGTATGGTTCTTTCTATACAGCAATCTTTCAAGAATGGGATGTAATCAATCTGATGTAAACTGAAGGTTACATACAACAACCGTTTGCAATCAATTGTCCGATTGTTTACATACGACATGATCGTTATCAAGAGCAGGTTGACCGTCTTACCTCATTTGAGCAAACTATTATTATACCTTTGCAGGTTCAAGTTAATCCGTTTTGACTTCAAGTGAATCCAACCAATCCCATTCCATTTGAACCGCACAAGATGATTGGTGTTTCGGCCGTAAAACATCACCGATTGGGCAGGGCCTACTTAAACCCCGTTCAGTCGAAATGAACTGATTTCTCCATAGGTAAATAAAAGTACTTTTGAGTGAGTTACCGAGCGGTGGGGTGAAGTGGAGTGGGTTCTGACCGTTCGTTTGTCCTCTTCCTCTCGCAGGGGAAACCATATACGCTTGAGCATTGATCGAGTGAGCTTTATAGACGGGAATGAACGGACCTGGCGTTACCTGACGTCGATCGGTCGTATAGACACATGTGCCTTGACAGTTTCGATCAAGAATACGATGGCTACAAACAGGTATGGATGCGGTCATGATCTGTTGCATGGGCTGGTTCAACCTACCCAATCGACTACATAGTGATTGGGATTCCATTCCGGCTAAGTTCCCCAGAACTTTATTACGTTGGGGGAACGAATAAAATTGCCTAATTTTTAGCATTCAAAGCTTAACAGTGACTGCTGAATATAAAGAAAGAAACAGTAGTGATTAAGGCTATTCACTTGTTTAAAGATTAACATAACTTGGATTGTTGAAATAATCCCACAGAGCACATTTGAAACAAAACAGCAGAGTGACAAACAAGCTCGTTTTCAGAGATTCTTATTCATGCTTGAATTGCTTTAGCCAACCCCCCTGGACTAGCTATTGTATTGTGCATACAAGGCAAATGGCAGACGCCCTGATACCTGGTGGCTTAAAATTCCCGTCAGCATAACCGATCCGGCTGTCATCAAATTCAGTGCTCGCTTGATAGGAAGCCGAGGGAGTGACTACTGCAGTTGGCTTTCCCCATCGAATCACTCACCACCTGGATGAAAGTTGACTCTTCTTTCGTCCACAATGAAAATAAACCCAACTGATGGTGATTATTTTGACTAAACTAGAATAGACTCCAGTGGTTGGTAGTTTGTACTATTTTCACCTCAAACGAGAAGCTAACAGCCTAACTACGCAACCTAGTCTGCTGGTTTTGAATGATCATTTGGTTTTAACACTGCAAGAACTACCCGCTTTGATTTGCCTTTAATCACCACATGCCCTGGAAAACTTTTCCTACTGAGGGGTTGTTTCCGCACGAAATTATCCACAAACAAATTTGAAAACCAGCTCACGGTGATGATGTGCTCTAACTTATATGAAATTTCTGC